CTGTGTTGAAACTCTAACTTCCAATGTGATGGTATTAGAAAGTGAGGAATTTGAGAGGAAATTAGATAATGAGGGTGGAGACATCATAGATGAAATTTGTGCCCTTACCTAAAGGGGCTCCAGACAACTGTTTTACTCTCTTTCTACCATGTGATGTCACAGCAGTCAAATACCTGTGAACCAGGTAGCATGCTCTTAACACATGCCAAATCTGCCAATGACTTGATTTGGCCTTCCCAGCCTCTGGAACAGAAAGAAATGAAGTTACACTGTTTATAAGCCACCTAGTCTGTGGTACTTTGTTACTGTAGCCTGAGTGGACCAAGACAGTCTTCTTTAAATGTTTGATGGAATTTAGCAATTCTATCAATATTCTATTCTGTCAATAACATGGGGCTTTGGGTTTCTTTTATAAAGGTTTTCAACGATGAATTCAATTTCTTTAATAAATAGAGGTCTATTTGGGTTTTCATTCCTTCACAAATATTTAGTAGTTTGTAGTTGATCTTATCTAAGTTCCTCTTTTTTTACGGTTGTTTGTATTGTCCTCTTATTGGGTTTTAGTAAATCCTCCCTTTAACTCCTGATATTTGTAATTTGGCTTTTCTTTCTTTTTTCTTTTTTTTTAAATTGTGAATCTGGCTATTTGTTTCATTAATCCTTTCAAAGAACCAGCTTGTACTTTTTTTGTACAATTTCAACTCCTGTAAATTTGTTAAGGTTTGTTTCATGACCTAAAATATAGTCTGTGTTAGTGAATATTCCATATGTACCTGAAAAAGAGTTTGTATTCTGTAGTTGCTGGGTAGAGTGCTTTGCAAATATCAGATTCAGTTGGTTGATGGTAATAGTGAGTTATTCTATACTAGTAATTCTCATCTCCAGGCAATTTTGCTCCCCAGTGGACATTTGGCAATGTCAGGAGACATTATTGATTGTTATAACTAGTTGGCAGCTATTGGCAACCAGTGGGTAGAATCTTCTGGCCTTACTCTGCTAAACATTCTATGATACACAAGACAGGTCTTTCCACAAGCCCTGTCACCACCCCACGCCTGCTGACAACAAAGAATTATCTGGTCTAAAATGTCAATAGAGCCAAGGTTGAGAAACCCTTTTCCTTGCTGATTTTCTCTCTACCTGTTCTATTGACTGCTGAGAGACAAATATTGATGTCTCTAATTCTAATGGTAAATTTTTGCTTTAAATTTTATATTTTTGCTTCATTTAAATTGAAGCTCTGCTGTTTGGTACATGCATATTTAGGATTTTTTTTGTCTTATTCGTTAAATGCTCATTTTATTAATAAGTAATGATCTTCTTACTTCAGCTAAATTTTCTTGTTCTGAAATATACTTTGCCTAATATTAATAAAGTCACTACATCCTTCTTTTAGTGTTTGCAGGGTATGTCTTTTTACATTCTTTTAGTTCAGCTCATTTTTATTTATTTAAAGTAGACTGTCTTTATAGATGATGTATAATTGCGTCTTTTTCTTTTGCAATCCATTCTGATAATTGTGTCTTTATTAAAAGATTATGGTGTATGTAGGTCACTTTCATTTAATGTAAGTATTGCTATGTTTGGATTTCAGTCTATCATTTTAATAGTTGTTTTCTGATTGCTCCCTCTGTTCCCTTTTCCTGCTTTTATATTATTTTGCTTTTGTATTATTTTTCTTGCCTTCTTTTGTATTTATTTGAATTTTAAAAATCTGTTTTATTTCCATTTATACATTTAGATTTTTACTATTTAACATATCTTTTTATATATTGCCTTAGTGATTGCTCTGAGGATTAAAGTATCCATACTTAACTTTACAGCCTTCTTGGACTGGATCTTTCACCACTTCAAAAGCAGTGTAAAACTCTTACCACCATATAGGTCTGGCTGCCTCCCCCATAATGCAGTAGGTGTCATGTATGACATCTGAATACCTTGACAAATGCATCACACACTGTTATTTTTCTTTCAATTGCATACTATTTTAAGGGCATTTAGAAGAGAAAAATACTCATTTACTCAGATATTTAGCATTTCCATTGCATTTCCTTTATCCCCAAAGTTGTAAGTTCCTTTTTAGTACAGTTTTCCTTTCATCTGAAGAACTTCCTTGGGCATTTCTTTCACAGCAGCTCAGTTAGTGGCAAAAGCTTTTACTTTTCATGCATCTGGGAATGTCTTTATTTTGCCTTCATTTGTAAAGGATACTATCGCAGTCTGGGTTGAACACCTTCTGAGAAATGCATCCTTAGGTGATTTTATCATTGTGTGAACATCAAAAAGTACATTTACACAAACCTAGATGGTATAGCCCACTACAGACCTAGGTAGACTAGATGGTTTAGCCTATTTCTCCTGGACTACGAACCTGTACAGCATGTTACTGTACTAAACACTATAGGCAACTGTAACACAAGAGTAAGTATTTGTGTATCTAAACATGGAAGCGGTAAAGTAAAATTACAGTTTCATAATCTTATGGGACAACTGTTGTATATTCAATCTGCTATTGACCAAAACATCATTATGTGGTACATGACTGCACACACACACACACACACACACATATTTTTAAAGCAGGACTTTTTACTTTTAAAAAGCACCTAGGTCTATAGTAGGCTATACCATTTAGGTTTGTGTAAGTACACTCTTTGATGCTCACACAATGAAGGAATCACATCTGCCTTTAAACAGAGGCAGCTCAGGGTGAGTCCAGGATTGCTACACAACTTTTGGAATCACTTTTCCCGAATTCCTTTCCCATTGCAAACCCTCTGACACTCCGTGGCTCCCAGGAGCATCTCTTCTCTCCCAACTGTTGGTCTTCTGGCTGGATTTTGTTTTCTAAACCTGATGCACACTTGTTGCAACTGTTTCTGCCTCTAGTGCCAAGTGGCAGTAAGGTAGAGAAAACAAAGCAAGCCCCCTGCTCTGAGGACCACAGTTTGATCAAAGAAAATGGTTCTCTTCTTCCAGTTTCTAGGTGCCTGTCTGGATGACTCCAGGGACACAGAGTGGCCTGGGATGAGACAGGAGAGAAGTAATCAAACAAACAAACAAAAAACCAATAAAAAAAAAAAACAAAACAGAACACAAAACAGATTTTCTCCACTGTCTCTGAACCTTAAAACTCCCTTTCTTGTTCCTTGGACCAGAAAAAGAGGCTCTTTCTGGAAATCAGAAATCTTTCTGTCCTCATCTGGTCTAGAGTTTTGTGATCTGGGCTGCCCTTGAGTCCAGGCCAAGGGAAATGGTTAAGAGGAGAAAAGGGAGTCCAGGAAACTCGTGGTCAGATTGGTCCTTACTTTGAGTTGTGGATTTCTTCTCCAATCTGCCTGATACTATTAATCTCAGAATCCCCAGAGTGCCTCCCCGTGCATTCTGCCCAAGGCCTTACTTGCTTTCAGGAGTTTGGTGGGACCAAGTGAGCATACCCAATCTTAACTGGACTTGGACTCCACTTTGCTCTTTAAGCTGCTTTATCCCATGTGGCTTCTCACAGCTAAGTGATATAGACAGTTCCATATTGATTAATATGGTGCTGGCTCTGTAAACCAGCCAATTATGCCCGTAAGTGGGGAGTCCACCATTTTTAAAGAATAGGGTCAGCTGACAAGGCCTCTGTAAATGAACATCATTGCTGCCGAGAGCTAAAATTTCTGTCGTTGGTTTACTGTGGAGACCACCACCTATCCCAGAGGGCTGTGATCCAGCAGGACTTGCACAGGGTGGGACCCTGTGACCCTTCAGCTACGAGCAGTGATAGTGGGATTTACACTTATCACAAGTGTGAGACAAGCTTGTACACATTTCTCTTTGATGCTGAGCATTCCTGGGTGAGGAAAACATGTGACAATATGCTTGCACAGCCTGATTGCTCAATATTCACATGCTATACGAACTTGGGTCACAATAAAAGGTATAGGTGATAAAGTACAGAAACTGTAGAGCACGTCTCCCTGCCCATCCCTGCAGGGAACAGAGGCAATGCAACTCTGTGTCTCCCAAGGGCATACTTCTGCCTGGTTTGGGAATCTTGGTCCAAAAAAAAAAAAATTGCAGGCAGGAGGCACTGAGTTGTTGAAAAGAAAACAGGGGTCCCAGAACCTAACAGAACAGAGTTGCATTCTCTTCCTGGCTGCAGACCTTCTTCACTTCTGAGCCTTGGTCTCTCTACGATAGGGGTAATGCTGTGGGTCTTGCTGTTGAGGATTAGAAACAATATGTATAGTAATTTTTAATAACTAACATTAATCAAGCTATTACTATGCACTAGGCACTGTTATAAGTGCTTTATAGTATTAGATAATTTACACCCCCTCAGAGCTCTATAAGAGCGTCTGTTTTCACAAATGAGGAAACTCAAGCACTGGGAATTTAAGAAGATTGTGAGTAGCAGAGCTGGTGCACCCTGGTACCTCTGAGTTGAGCAACAGGCTTTTCTGCATGACTCCTGTTGCACTGTGGCCCGGGCCTGGCTAGTTCCTCTGAGCCCATGATGGAAAGACGGATGTGAGAAGTCGGTCTTAGTACCCACCCTATTCTGTAAGATCCATGCTTCTGTTGGCTTTGAAAACTCAGCAGCCCCTCCTCAGAAACTTGTATGATAACTTAAGGAAAGTCTAGCTTTATGTGGGGGTCGAGAAATGGGTAGATATCCAAGAACACATACACACACATGGCTGTGGGTGGGGGCATATGTGACAGTCCAGGACAGTGGAGGGGATTTATAGTCAGGGCACGGTACAGCTAGGGGGACATTTAGTGTCCTTCAGACTGACCCTGCACCTCCTATTTAAACAACCGAGAAATTAAAATCTGAAGAAGGCACATAGTTTGCTGACGATCTATGGCTAGGCTGGGTCCACTTCGCCCTGACTTCTCTCTGCCATCCTCTTTCTTGCTTTTTAAACCATTAGAGAGCAAAGCATCATGATGTGGGGGAGCCCATTGCCCTCTGGCATCTTCTAACCAGATGTTTTCTTCTCTTTCAGCAGTTTTTCATGATTTTTCCTCACGCTGATCACTATCCAATCAGAACAACACACTTCCATCATCCACTTGCTAAAAGAACATGGCTAAGGGTGGGAAAGGCCCCAAGGGCAAGAAGATTACCCTCAATGTGGCCAAGAATTGCATCAAAATCACTTTTGATGGGAGAAAGCGCCTTGACTTGAGCAAGATGGGAATTACCACCTTCCCCAAGTGCATCCTGCGCCTCAATGACGTGGACGAGCTGGACCTTAGCCGGAATCTGATCAGGAAGATCCCTGACTCCATTTCCAAGTTTCAGAACCTCCGGTGGCTGGACCTGCACAGCAACTACATCGACAAGCTGCCTGAGTCCATCGGCCAGATGACCAGCCTGCTCTACCTCAATGTCAGCAACAACCGGCTGACCAGCAACGGGCTGCCTGTGGAGCTGAACCAACTCAAGAACATCCGCACTGTGAACCTAGGCTTGAACCACCTGGACAGCGTGCCCACCACGCTGGGGGCCCTGAAGGAGCTCCATGAGGTAGGGCTCCATGACAACCTGCTGAACACCATCCCCGTGAGCATCTCCAAGCTCCCCAAGCTGAAAAAGCTCAACACGAAGCGGAACCCCTTTCCAAAGCCAGACGAGTCGGAAACATTCATAGACTCCATTAGGAGGCTGGAGAACTTGTATCTGGTGGAGGAGAAGGATCTGTGCGCGGCATGCCTGAGAAAATGCCAAAATGCCCGGGACAAGCTGAATAGAATCAAGACTATGGCCATGACAACGCCGAGAAAGGCCATCTTTTCCAACCTGATCTTACCCAATTCCATGGCCAAGGAGTCCCAGGAAGACTGGAGGTGACTGGTACCCTGACCCTAAGGCAGGAGGGGAAGAGAGATGGAGGGAAGGGGGCAGTGGGCTGCATCCACAGGAAACCAAGGCTCCCCTGTGACTACAACGGCTCTTCCAGCCAAGCCCATAAAGCTTCTTTTCCTACTTCCTTGGCGTGTGATTGTGTTGATTGAAGGGCTTTCAGTTCCTTGCCATTGCACACATTTCTTTCTTCTCTGCACACACACTCACAAGCACAGGCACAGTGAGTCAGGAAGGGGCTATCCACGTTGTTCCTACTCTTGTCCCCAGAGTTCTATGGCCTACTGCTGTCTGGGTAGCTAATGCTGCCACACATTGACTATTGCTGGCATTTCAGAACCAACCACCAGCTCCCAAATGTGGAGCTATTTACTGGAAATGGTTTGGGTCTGGGCTTCAAAGGCAAGAAATCTCAGAGCCTGAGTTTGTAAGACAGTAGATGAGTACTGGGTCTCGGGTAAGGAACAAAGATGGGCCACAAAAATGGTCAGGTTTTATCATTAAGGCATCAGTAGGCAGAAAGCCTCTTGGCCCAAAGCAATGCTTTCTCTCTGAACTGAGCTTGTATGACTTCCTCTAGAAGCTTTCTTGACTAAATCTGCAGACCTCTGACTGGCTGTGAATTAATGAAGTTGCACTCCCATCCCATTACATTCATTGTTTTTCCAGACCCTCATGGGAGGAAGGAAAGAATGGGGGCAGGTATGGGTTGGTGCATTCAATAAATCAACACCTTACTTGGCACCGTGCTAGGTGCGGGGGCCATGTCCAGCTGGGGAAAGTTTGGCTTGCCTGGTGTAAGCTGGAGGAGAGAGCAGCTGAAAGGAGATGGGCAGAGCACCATTGTCTGAGGAATTCGGGAGATCAGCATCGAGGATGTGCAGGGCTGGCCTGGCAGAGAGAAAAGTCCAAGATTCTGAGGTTGGACAGATCTAGGTCCACGGCAGCTCTGCTTTTGACTTGGCATCCCCTTGGACACCTCACATAGCTTTGGTGTGAATAATGCCATACCCAACTAACTCCATGGGTTCTGTGCCTCTAAAAAAGGCAGCACATGGAGAACGTACTTAGCTATGACAATGCTATCATAGTTCTAAAACCTTGGGAGAGCTAGGTTCAACATTTTGACTTTAGTTTTTCCCTTTATTAAATTGTTTTTCACTGTAGAAGTAACAGAACCCCAACATACTATTAAATATAGTAGCTTAAAGCATCCATCATTCTACAGGGTAAGCCAACTGTAATGTTGGCAGAGTTCTTTATTTTTTCTGTACATATTTTGATACATAGCCAAAATTATAGCATTTCTATAATTTGTGTCCTGCTTTGAGAACCATGCTGTTACCTGGTGTTAATAACCACACTTTAAAATGTCTGCAAGATAGTATTCTTGTGGATACACGTAACTATAAGTTACTGTTGAGACTTCAAGTTATTTTCAGTTTTTCACTAATGGGAATGGTCTTGTGATGAGAGCCTGTATAACTAAAGCATTTAAAATTATTTTGAATTATTTCCTTGGCATAGCTTCATTATTGGAAATGTTGTGTTAAAGGGTGAGTTTTAACAATAATGTTTATATATGCCATCAAGTAGCTCATAAAAGGTTTACCCATATTTATAGGCCTGCCAGTATCGTAGCAGAGAATCTGTTTCACAGCATCCTTGCCACCACTGAGCACTGGCCTTCACATTTTTATTTTCACTTAATGTCTGAAATGACACATGAGAAGCCTTTCTGAGGCTGAGGGGAGCAACCGAGTCTGAGACATGTGTGATGAGTCGCTATGCTGTAGGTACAGGAGCCACCACTAGCCTGCTGGGCCCTGGGCATGTCCACAGGAGAGCCAGTCTGCTATTGCAGTCACTTCACCTCTGATCCAAAAGGGATGGTGTCTAAGCAGAGATGTATGATCAAGACAGAGGGTGCTGGAGAGCTAAGGAAGACTTCCCAACACTTTTTCTTTAGAATTAATTTTTTCTCCTTAGGTATTCAAAAGGATCAGCAAAGGAGAGAAGTTAAGAGAAACATCAAGGTTACAGATCCCATGTGGTGCCCAGGGTATGCCGGTCCACGCCCTCCCTCCGCCTGCTGCAGCACACTCCTTGCCGCGCTGGGTTCTTGACACCCTTACTTGCTGCCAAGTGCTTGGCTGGCCTGATGCTCCAGCCTTGCTCTGGGGTTTTATCATACTTTCCGTCTTATCATACATCTCAGTAAGGCATTTCAAGTGCATTTAATTTCACCAGGGTTCAGACATACACAGGCAGTGAGCTGGATTTGCCTCAGATTGTATTCAAGTCAGACACCTCTTTAGCCAGGAAATGCTGGCAGCGGGATGAAGCCGACTGGAGACAGAGGCCAGTTAGGAGGCGTCTTCCGCACTCTATTTCTTTTACTGCCAAGGAAAAGGTTTGATGTTGGTGCTCCTTCATGCTCTAAAATACCTCAATCACCTTTACTTCTTGGAAATTGTATGAAACATAAAGATACTTCATAGGAAAGCCTTGGGGGTTCTCTTTCCTCAAATAGAACAAAATCCCTATTCACACTACCTTAACCATCCTGAAAGCCAGGCATCACCTTGGTGAGCTGGTGTGACCTCTGCCCTTTCTGTGTTTGCCCCTGTGGCCTGGAGCAATGACCTCAGCTTCTTGTGTCTCCATCCCCAGGATACACTCAACATCTGCCTAGAGTAGCTATGGCAAAAACTTGAAGACTACTCTTAACAGAGTAAAGAACTCTGAAGAGAAGAAGCCCCCAGTTAGCAGAAGACAGAGTGGCAAGTGGAATCTTCTGGAGAGCGGGCTCGCCGGAGCGGGCTAAGCCAATGACTTGCTTCTCAAATTTACTTCACTCCCTTAGCTTTAGCCCACCTGTGTGTAAAAATGACTTTAGGGAAAGTTTGATGTGGTTTTTAAAATGAATATAGAGAAGAAAATTTAAGAAAAGTATAGATTACATATTATAGACAATTAATTATTAAGACTTTCAGACTTTAATTCCATATTTGTATTATCCTTCTCCCACAGTGCGAATCTGAGTTACAAACATCACTGAATTTACTCACTTGCTGAATCCTACAAAAGATACAATGCGGTACTGGAATTGCTATGACAACACATAAAGTTCAAAATTCCTTTGCCATTCTTCTCCTTTAGAATATATCCCACTCAGGGTGTTAGAATCCAAAAACTGTGTTCCAAATCACTTGAATCATTTTTTTTCTCTCTGTGTAATTATATAATCTAGTTTGCATACAGTTAAGTGTGGCTGTTTGTATTTACTTTTGTATTCCTTCCATTCTTGCTTTTTACTAAGTTTTTTCAATATATGAAACATTGACATCCTTCAAAAGTGGGGAAAAAAAAAGATTTTAAGACTTAAAAGGCTTACTGCCTCTACATGTCACTCAGCCTGGTACATCTCAATGCCAGTAGTCTGTGATAAGTTACAAGGGTATCATGAGATACTGATATGGTTTGGGTGTTTGTCCCCTCCAAACCGCATGTTGAGATTTGAGCCCCAAGGTTGGGAAGTGTTGGGGTTATGGGGGTGGATCCCTCATGAATGGCCTGCTGCCATCCTCTTGATGAGTGGGTTCTTGCTGTATTCGATCCTGTAGAAAACTGATCGTTAAAAAGAGCTTGGCACCTTCCTTTTCTATCTCTCTTTCTTCCTCTCACCACGTGATGCCTTTTCCCCTTCATCTTCTACCATGAGTGGAAGAACTTATACACAAAAGCCCTCACCGGAAGGTAATGCTGGCACCATGCTTCCTGTACAGCCTGCCAGAACCATGACCCAAATAAACTTCTTTAGTTATAAATTACTTAGCTTCAAGTATTCCTTTGTAATAATGCAAATGGATTAAGACAGATAAGTTATATAGAAAAATATGCTGAAAATACTACAGATAAAATAGAATTTATCAAATATTTCAGTGGTACATAGGTAGGCAGGAAAAAGAAAACAGAGAAATGAACAACAGGAAAAAAAAAGAAAACAAAAAATAAAATGGCAGACTTGTATTCTAATATTTTGATTATTACAATAAATGTAAATGATCTGCTTTATTTTTAATGACCACCAAATGGAAACAACGAAATATTGCTCAATGCACAAACTGTTAAACAAACTGGTATATGCCTATCATGGAATACTACTCAGCAATGAAAAGGAACAGACCATTGGTACACACAAAGACTTGAATGTATCTCAATGGCACTATAAGCAAAGAAAAAATGTCCATCTCCAAAAGTCACTTACTGTATGATTCCATATACAGAACACTCTCTAAATGATAAAATAATAGACATGAAAAACAGATTCATGATTCCCAGTATTTAAGGATGGTGGAGGAAGACAGGGGTAGGCATGACTGTAAAGTGGTAGCACGGAGGTATCTTTGTGGTGATAAAACAACTGTATGCCGACAGTGACAGTAGTTACTCAAATCTACACGTGATAAAATGACAAAGAACTATGCATATACATGTACCAGTGTCAACGTCCTGGTTCTGAAACTGTACTATGTTATGTAAAATGTAACCATGGTGAGGGGGATATTAAGTGAAAAGTGTATGGAGCCTCTCTATTTTTGCAACTGTTAATACTTTGAAATAAAAATTAAAAAAAAAAAACAATCTTACAGCCTAAATGCAACAACAATCAATAGATCCTTGTGCATCTGCCCAGTGCTGATTTATGAGGTCCTATGGCAAGCTTAAAGTGAGAATCTGACACACCAAGCCAGCCTAGAGATGCAATTCAGGCACAGAGTAAGGGAATTCAGGTACTTTAATCTTGGCTCACCTGACTAATCTAAAATTACCCATTGTTGATCTCATTCTTGCAGATTCCTGAAAATGTTGCTAAAATAAATAGAAACTGCGTGTATTCTCTATGTCCCAGGTTTTCTGGAGGTAGCTGAACATAGGTGGCAACTAGGATGGGGAAAACCTTGAACCAGTGGGTTGCTCATTGCCATTCCCGGGCTTTTGCACACCTGCTGCTCACCCCTGGAGATGTGGGAGTGTAAAGGTTGTGAAAGCAATGTGGCTGGGTGGAACTGGAAGGAAAGGGGGTAGGTTGGCTGCAGAGACTGGGGCTTGCAACAGGCT